CGAACCTTTGGTACTCTACCTTGTTTGTTCTAGCCATCTCAGACTTAGTTTAGAAAACAAAAATCATAAAAAACTTTTCCACGACCAGTGGTGCATCGAGCAATTGATGATAGACTCATATTTTATAGACCAGTCAACACTTGATTCGCTTTCTAGTCAACAACATGCTGGCTGCATTTACTTCCTGGGACTATTCCCTGTGCTACCTTTGAGCTGAATTAATTTTGGAATCCCAGCTTTAGGTTAGCGGCTTTATATATGTATATATGTATGTGTGTGTGTGTGTATACGCGCATCGTAATACCGGGGGTGTTGGGTTCGATCCCAGCTGCGGACGGTTTGTCATGCATTGATTTCTACAGTGGTACCAAGAGTTGGCCGTTAAGATGCAAAACTACTGAAAGTAAAATTTGCCTAGAAAAACCATAAAAGCCCAAATCTGCTGGGGTTGGTTCTGCAAGGTTCTGTAAAGGAAACGCAGCTAACTTATTTATATATGTATGTGTGTATATATATGTATATGTATATATATATATATATATATATATATATATATATATATATATATATATATATATATATATATATATATATATATATATATATCATCAGGTGCCTTGCCGACTGGTGTGGGCGATCATGCCTCTCCATAATCTGCGATCTCCTGCAGCATGTATCAGTTCGTGTGCCGACACATCTCCATGCCATGCAACAAGACTGTCAAGCATCTTCTCTCGTTGTCTTCCCGTTGTCTACTTCCACAGATCTTTATATATATATATATATATATATATATATATATATATATATATATATATATATATATATATATTAGTTCTAAGACAACCCTACTTCTGTATCGTTATTCGTAGTTTAATAACACTGTAGAGCCTCGATCACCTCCATACACGAATAGCATTGTGGTCCTTTTGAGGGATGCAATTGTTGGTCATGTACAGCAGGGATCTACCAATCGTCAGTAGAAGTAATCTCTCGTCGACAAACGTTTCGGCCCACAAGCTCCTAGATGTTTTCAGAGAGTGGGCCCACCTGAGTTCATGAAGCTCAGGGTTGGTTTCCCTGCTGCACGAAATTACCTGATGGTGTTCGGACGACTTGGTGAAATATACCCGGGCCTTAAATATGGCCTAACGGCTGAACCTCTCCACAGGTCATCCTCATCCGCATGGGGGCACTTTGTGTCATAGGGTGTTTATCGCTTGTGTGATGTCCTGGTGGGGTATAACGTGTCTGCCTACTTACCTATTGACCAGCGAGGGACTGTTGATTGTCTGAGCAGCAAGTTAAACGCAACGGACCCTGTTCTCGAGAGTCGGCAAAGAACGACCCAACGGTTATTTCCTTCTTTCAAGTGATGGACATATAGGGTCAAGTCTCCTGTCATCTGTTTTACCGCTTCCTGTACCCCCTGTTCCTTTATTTGGCTTGGGGCGTAGTCTTGACAGAACTTTATCTTTTCTTTGTCAAGATGTTCTATTGTCCTTGTCAAACCGTCATTATTTTATCGAGTCTTTCCATGCCGATTCGCATGCATCTTTGCTGTGGTGTCACCCTGCAAGCAGAAATACCAAGTATTTGGCGCCTTATATCTGACGAGTGCTTTTATGTCTGCCTATCTCAAAAGACCTATGAGCATGAACAACAATATGTAATCTTCTCTACTGTGTGCTGTGGGAACTTGTCCAGTTATGGAACACACCGGAGTGCCTTGATCATGCAATACAGGACTTTTGTAATGATCTTTGCAATATTACCAGTCAATGTTGAAACCATTGTACTTAAATTCAACTTATAGTTTATCAATGAAATGCAGTTTGAATTTTAATCCACAGATTTCCCCGTGTGGCTTCCGGGGCCCTATTATAAGGAAAACAAGAATAGACCCACTGCCTACACAAAAGCATGTCGTAAGAGTCGACTAATTGGGAGCTTCCTTCGAAGTCGGAGTGCATCTGCCTGATAGGCAAGGAACCAACAGTCTGCATACAAATTAGTCAGATCTGTCAAACGGATGCACACGCAACACTCAGGTTCTGGAAAAGGACAGTAGTCCAGAAGTGGACGAACTACCAGAACTTTCCGCCGGAGTTTACCGCTGGTGAATGCGAAGAAGAAGAAGAATCTACAGAGTAAAAAGTCACAAATGTTGAAGCTGAAAATCCAGTATACAACAATCTTTGCACACACACACACACACACACACACACACACACACACACACACACAGGTTATTGAAACAATCTCTGTGAGAGAAGCACATTAATCCGAAATAACGAAAAGAACACTGAATGGTCAACGTAATCCTTAGCTTGATCCACGTAGAATCCTTTAATATCACTCCTGTAATTTCTTCTTAATGTCGATGCCATATGACGTTAGTAGCCATGTCTATTGGCATTTTTCTGTATTATGTACTTTATGTCCACTCTGACACAAATGGTCTCTCACGCCAAGATGTCCAACTGTCCAGCATGTTCTCTTACGTTCTCCCTCTGTCCATCTTTCCCTCCAGCCCAACCATCGTCGCTATACAGTTTTCTTCTTCTCATTTCATGTTTAAAGAACTGAGATTGTTCCCTTCTGATTTGGACAATCAGTTCACTTCACGAGTTAGTTTCTTTCAAGACATCTTCATTTCTCCTTATATCTGCCCAATGTATTCTCATGCTTTCTCCTTGAAGCCACATCTCGTCACTTCCACATAATTGTTCACTAATCGGTCAACTGTCCATGATTGATTTCCATATATTAGGATGGGATTTATAGATCTTTTTTAGAATTATTTACCTCGTGTTAGCTAGCAAAGAAAGATTTCATAGAAGAGTATGTATTTTGTAAAATGCTGCCTTTGCTTGAGCTATTCTACAATGAACTCCTGCAATATATCTTTTAACTGCTGTTTTTGGGGTACCCACGTATTTAAAACATATCATCTGGCTGGAGGATTGTCCCATTTACTTGAAGGTGGTATTCTGGAGGGTCCGTTTCTATGTAAGTAACATTACTTCTGTTTTTCAACTTTTCAAACTAAGACCCTTGTTACATGACGGTTTTGTCCCGTGTCTAAATTAAAATCACCCATAGTCATATTAGACATTCTGAAATGGTATCATGTTGTCAAGTCGTAAAAAAAAATCACACTTGCAGTTTGGTCTGGCTACATTCTCCCTAGATGACGGAACCAGTTCACTCTTTGTCTTATCAGTATAATTCAGACACGATCTTTTTCCAGCTTCCTATCTAATGCTGGTATTCTTACTCCTATCCCTTATTGTAATGTGAGTGACAATACGGAGACAGCTTATTTTACTAGTTTCCTATTTATTGTCCATGTCTGGCATTAAAAACATAAAGTACGAGTAAAGGTGTTTTTAATAATTTGCTTTTGTTCTGAAAGACAAAAATCTGATTGTCTAAGCACTGGGCTGCCTGGTAGGTGACAACATTTGCTTTCACAAGTTTTCACTACAACTCAAATAACTGTGACGATCATACCAAAAAGGACTTTGGTTTTAATGTATTCTGTTGTTCTCTGGTGCTAAAGATTGATTATTGCGAAAACAGAAGTATTGACAGTATCAACGTAATGTATACTAAAAATCAAGACTTTTTTTTTTTTTTAAAGAACAGGTATCAAAATTAAGTGTGCAGGCTCTTGAATAACAACCAACGGGGTATCATCACAGCGATCACGATTAGAACAAAAGAGGCTAGAACTGAACTTTATAAAAATGAAGAACATTTTATACCCTCGCGTCAATGGAGGTTGGAAAAGAACTCTCACATACTGTATAGAGGTAGTTTTAACATACGTCTAATCCTAGACAAGCCAAACAATTTCCAAATGTTTTAAAAGACGCAAGGGCTCACAAACATCAGTGAGAGACACTAGTCATTTTTTTATGATAACGACTTACAGTAATCTTATGGTTTCAAGATGGAGGTCATCCACACTTGTCTTAAGTATACACGTTTGCACTAATACTGTTATAACTGAGATGATAACATCAACGTAGCCGCTATCGAGAATACGTCAGTTAAGTGATTTTTGTGTATTCGTATGATTTCTTTTTGATTTATGTATGTGCTGATCTGGTAATCTGGTAATCTGGTAATCCTAGTTTCAGCTTCATAGCAAACGGGTCACCCCATAGTTGCTCTGCTCCTGTGCCAACGAAAAATACACGTAGCTCACAGTGTCACCCCATGCACTCAACTCAGAAGCTGGGCGACGAAACTATATCCTTCCAGTCTACAAATGGAGCAAAAATGCAACGGCCACCGTCTGGCAGGGGGGAAAAGGTGGCCGTGCATAGCGTCCATTTTGACCTGAATCATTATATGAGGGTTAATAAACGGTCACCCCAGCAGTACCCTCATTATTAGCTCGGGAAGGGACTTAGGACATTACATCCACCAGCAGGCGTCGCCCCTACAACGACCTGCCTACCTTCATTGTGTTTTTCATTAGCGAATTTGAATAATTTATAGTATTCTGTAGTCCTCAATTGTTACTCGCGGTAACCGTATAGTATCAGTCTGAGGTTGTTCACACTTGTCTTAATCTCTGTACAAGTTTTTACTAATACTATTATAGTTGGGGTCGGCTCTGTGGCTAAGTCGATGCGAACACTTCGCTTCGTAATGCCGGGATGCCGGGTTCGATCCCAGCTGCGGGCAATGCGCCTTGCGTTGGTTTCGACAGTGGTATCAAGAAAGCCGACCGTCCAGGAAGCAATGGCAAACTACTGGACGTAAATTTGCCTAGAGAAACCACACAACAGCCAGGGGCTGCTGTGGTTGGTTCTGCAACGTCCTGTAAAGTATACGCAACAACCTTATTGTAGTTGGGGCGATAAGAATATATCTTCAGTGGTCACCTATTTTGTTTTTGTCCACATTATGGTTGTCCTAACATATTTTTGACATATGTACAAGTTTTCAAAACTCCACAAAAATGGACAATGATAAAAAGACTTTTATTGTTTTCCACAATAACAGAATGGTTTTAACTTGGGGTCGTCCATACACGAGTCTTGGCCTCGATACAAGTTCAAACGAATAATATTCCCAACGACATTCACAACTTTGGTAGATCTGTCAAGAGACAACCTGGCCTCATACACGGCATTACCCGGTGTCGTTGTTACTGTAATTTGGTACAACGATTGTTCATCTCTCTCCTGGAGCTTCTGGCTATCAAGCTGAATTTCCATGATGTTATCGACAGATTTAACTGTAAGTTTCTGGCACTTGTGCCGGTATCTTATCACTGAGCCCCACAAGGCAGACTGAACAGCCGTTGCTAGTGATATAGTTACAATAAAGCTGACATTTCCCTTGGTTAACCTGTTGCATACACAGAACCCAGCACTAATCTCTGCATCTTCGCACGACCTCTCACCTGGGATTTCATTAAACAAACTAATCCCTTTTTCTTTGACGTCGCCAATCCCAGATTTGCCTTGAAAGTTGAGAACATCTAGAAGTGTTGCGTGTAAATCTTTATTCGTGGTTAGGCGGTCTTGGTTAATTTTTAACACTTCCATGACATTTGGGTATTTCCGATGAAACCAGGGTGGAAAAACCAGAAACACATGGGGCATGTTTGCTTCAATCATCCCATTGTAAGTCCTTCTGAAATGTAAAACAATATAAATGTATTAGTAAGCAATCCATATTAACATTCATTATGACTGTGGGGAGACTGTCGTGGTAGACAGTGATATAATTAGCCTCCGCCTAAACGGGGAAGGGACTTAGGACATTACATCCACCAGCAGGCGAGGAGAGGGAAAGTCCCGAATTGAGCGCATGTTACATCAGTCTGTGTTTAGCACTTGTTCCAGTAACATCGTAGTGTCGCTTGTGATCATACATTTTCTCTAACTTGTGTTATATTGTGATATATGAACATGAATCTTCAAGGCCTACAAAATGGCCTCTCTGAAGAATTTAAGTGCATCAAGATCCAGTTTCTGCCTTCCAACAACCACTCTGTTACTCCAGCCCAAAGACCAGCAAGGTATTTCTAACTTCAAGAAGCTCTACACTAAAGCACTCTTCGAGCATTGTTTTCAGGTGACTGAAGGGACCAACCTCACTCTTAAAGAGTTTTGGAAAAATCACTTCCACATCTTTGCCTGCCTCAAGATGATCGACAAGGCGGGGGAAGGGGTTACCAAAAGAATCTTAACTTCTGCTTGAAGAAGCTTTGGCCGGAGAGCGTTGTCGATTTGTGACTTTGAGGGGTTCGAGACAGTACCTGTGGAACTTGTAGTCAACGAGATTGTGTCTTTGGCCACTATCATGGGATTGATTGTAGGTGGATAACAGTGATATCGAAGAGCTTGTGAAGAGCACAGCCAAGAGCTGACCACCGAAGAGCTTATGGAGTTGCATTGTGTTTCACAGAAAGGAGTTTTGGAGGAAAGTTTGTCAGAGGCGGAGGTAACAGAAAAGCAACAATCTTCTGGCTAAAAAAGATAAATGCTGAAAGCATGGGAAACTGTT